AAAAAAAGCCTGAAAGGATGAGACATGCCTTAGCCCACCTGATAGATAATTAGAAGGAATTAGTCAAATGTCACAAGCTAATAATGTACCACAATCTTTCCCTTCTAACCTAACAGATCACTGCTTTACCATTTTTAAGAACCAATTCTGAACTCCCTGGAACCTTCAGCCTACTTCTATGTGACTGAAAGCAATAATGTATGGCCCCTTTTTATATATTTTTAAAGTTGTCATTGGACCTTTATTTTATTTATATATGGTGCTGAGGATTGAACCAGGGCCTCATACATGCGAGGTATGCGCTCTACCACTAAGCCATAAACCCAGCCCTATATCACCCATTTTTAAGGTCTGTTTTGCCCGCAAAGATCATTATTTGTTTTCTTATCTGTAGAATGGGAATGATAGACTTTACCTCAGTCATTAAGAGAATTAAATTTGTAAAGTGCTTATAGAGTATCTAGCACAGTTATGTGCCACAAAAGTGTTAAATATTATATGTTAATGCTTGTCCAAATTGTAATTCTGTGATTTGGAAGACAGAACCAACCAGCATTACCAAAAAAAAAAAAAAAAAAAAAAAACAACTTGCTAAGGGACTATAGAAAAGTATGAAATAGTCAAGAAAATTGCTGCTCTCCTTGATCATAAAACTCCATCTTTTCCTTCTTCCCTTTGCACCACCTGCTTCCTCTCAACAGCTGAGGGCTGGGAGATGACCACAAAATCCTTCAGAACTAGTGAGAAAACCACCACATTTTCTATATGTCCTAGGCCTGAGCCCCTATCTACCTCAGGAATAGCGGCCTTTCCAAAGGCAAAATGAGGGAAATAGTTCTGTATTCAATCATTCTGAAGAAAGCCTTCAAAACTAAAAGGCAATAAGTATGCCTCTAACCAAAGAAATATACTCTGCTTAGTTTCAGGCCACTTGATTCTGATTCTAAGCATCTTCTTTAAATATCTTGAACAAGGCCCTTGCCAGCCTCAAAGTACATTCCAAAGAGAATCAAGTATCCCATTACAGTGGGTCATTTTCCCTGTTGCAGCCTCCCAGAAAGGCAAGACCTACAAGAGGGTGAGCACAAGCTATCCATTGCATTGCTCCTCCCTACCCCTAGAACCTTACAGGAAGGAATGCCTTTGGGCATAAATATCCAAGAATCTGTCTCATCTGTCGATGTTGCCATGGCATCAGCTCACTGATGAAAATTGGATTTGTACTCTCCCCTCACTGCCCTCATCATCTCCTACACTTTCAGCAACTCTGCTTTCAACTTCTCTTCTTAGGACTCCCAACACAGTAACTGCTCTTGCTTATACATTCTACTTGTTCCATTTTATGTAAACTCTGCACCCCTTCCTTTTGCACTTTCCTGAAACATTCCCAAGCTTTGCCTCAGGAACAAATTCAGATATCACTGCATGAATATCAGAATGGCTAAAATTTAAAAAAATGAGACATCCACTTCTGCTGAGGATGCATAGATTACTTGTACACTGCTGGTAAGAATGTAAAATGGTGCAGCAGTTGTGGAAAACAATCTGGCAATTCCCTCAAAAAGGTTAAATGCAATTTATGAGCATACCTCAATTGTAGAGTACTTGCATGCCATGTGTGAGGCCCTGGGTTCAATCCCCAACACAGAAAAAAGGGAAGGGAGTTAAATACAACCCAGAAATTCCACTCCTAAGCATTTACCCTACAGTAATTACAGCACATGTCCATACTTACTTCATTTGTAATAGCCCCAAATTGGAAACAACTCAAATGTCCTTCAATGAATTAATGTTTAAATAAATTATGATACAGTCATACCATGGAAAACTACTCAGCAATACCAAGGAATGGCCTATTGATATATGTGACAAATTGAATAAATCATGATGATATCACACTGAGTGGAAAAGTCAAATCCCCAAGTTACATACTATGTAATTCCATTTATATATTTGGTACCAGGTATTGAACTCAGGGGTGCTTAACAACAGAGCCACATCCTCACCCCTTTTTGTATTTCATTTAGGGACAGGGTCTCACCAAGTTGCTTATTTTGCTAAACTGCTAAGGCTGGCTTTGAACTCATGTCCTCCTGCCTCAGCCTCCAGAGCCTCTGGGATAACAGGCGTGCACCACCTCACCTGGCTATATAACTTCTTTTAATATATGTTTTTAGTTATTGATCACTGTCCCTGACTAGAAAATTGGGGTATTATAGCTGTTTTGGAGCCTTTTCTTCTCCTGCTCTTGAGTTTTTTTCTCTCTTTCCTCTGCATCAGGGCTGTTGCTTAACAAGTTACAACAAGTTAGAGAAAACCAGTGAGGTTTAAAAAACAGGAGGAAACAAGGAAAGGGGAAATGCTTTACAAGCAAGCAAAGGATGACTGGCAACCTATGAGAGAAAAGAAAGGAAATGAAATTGCAAAAAATAAGAAGGAAACTTACTCAAAGAGGCTGTAAAGTCAATGGGAGTCCTAAAAAACTGATGTAGAACCTGATAATTAACCAGTCAGGTTTCCCCCAACAAAATGGCTGATTTCCCTTGGCAATTCAAACCAGGGGACCATCAGACAAATCAGCAAACACCACAGTTCCCTTCCACAGGACAAAGGAAAGGAGACAAGTGAAGCAGCCACTACTCAGGAGGCCCCATTTCTGAAACACTGCCAGCCACCACCACATAAAGGCACTGAAACAAAAAGGAATTGAGCTGAGCATGCAGGGCTGCCTGGGCTTTTCTAAAATAATAATCCCACAATGTGACTCTCTGTTCAAAAAAGATACAGGGAACAAAGTAACTTCCTGTCTTCAGCCTAAATAAATACAATTTATAGTGGGAAATTTATTGACTGTAACCTTCAGCAGACAAAAGGTCTATTTTAACCTGTCCTTAGTCATTATGTTCAAGTATGTAGAGGATCTGATTGGTAGCCAAAGAGACCCATATTGTAGTCCTGGCTCTGCCACAAACTTGCTAGTTCAGTAACCTTGAACAGGTCATCTTCCATCAGCAAAATAGGACTAGCCAATCAATTCAAGGCTCACAGTTAGAAATCTGTGTTAAATGAAATTTTACTAGGTGCAGAGGCAGAAGAGACAAGCACCTCCTGTGCGCCCATGTGCAACCAGCCCAATTAATTCGTCAAGCCAGTTTCCCTACAAAGAGAAGCTCCTTACTGCCTTTATAGCAAGGTGACTAGCACAATGACCCATTCCTTGAAAAAGTCAGCCTTAAGCACTGTGGAAATGAGAAAAAAATGATTAAAACCTAAGATCTTGTTGTAGGCCAATGTCCACCTGACCTGTTCTCCAGTGGGACTATCCCCTTTGCTTAGGATGATGGTAGAAGGTCCAGAGAGAATCCTTATCTAATACTGTGGCTTATCTAATAATGGCTGCTGTGCCCAGATTACAAAGGCCTATACCATTTGGGGAAATATGGACATCAGGTATTTCTCATGGACATTCCTATTGGGTTCTGTCTATCTCCATAGCAAGGCAAAGAAGGCAATCTGCAAACTACTCCTGGCCAAATGAAATGAGAAGGGGAGAGCTACATTAATTTTTAGTTCTCTAGTTCATAAATGCCTTCATGTTTAAAGCAGTTACTCCCCTACTGCCTTATGCATTCCTTAATATCCAAAAGATGGCCTCACTTAACTGGCCCACATTGTAAAGGGGACTAAATCACACCATTCACATACATGCCCATCAACTAACCACTTCCCTAAAAGGTCAGGGCTGCCCAAGGCAATCAATGGAAATTCTTATGACCCTTTAAAAATATCACCTTTGAATCTTGTTAGGGTACATGAACAGTCAGGTTCATCAATTATATACCTAACCATCCTCATACACTTTATTCCTGGCATGCAGAAATGTATCATAAATTACAAAAAGGATACATAAATGTAAAGTTCCATACACCATGCTAGTAATTCTGGCAGATGAGGGAGAAGCCATGTTGGTAAATGACCACGGTTCCACATGCGCAGAGTAAGAGACCCCCACGTGCTTGGGGAGGCTTACTCACTTCTAATATCCTGCTTCTCTACCCACATGGCAGAATGAGGTTGGAGGATAGCAAGTACGAAGAGCCACACCCTGCGCTACCATTACCCAGTATGTGTCACAATCCTGATGCAAACCCCTTGGCCCGAAGTCCAACGACACGGTAGAGCAGCAGAGGCTTGTTACATAAACTCTGTGGGGCCTCATCCGGTGCGCCCCATCCTCTCACCCTCAATTCTTTAGGTTTCCACAGTTGAACATTTAAAGAAACATCCTGAGAAACATATTCTTTTGTGCAAGGAGCTTTAAAATGAGGGTAATTTTTCATTTGTCTGGCAAGGTCTAGAATGGTGGGGGAAGGGACATTACCCAAATGACCTTGCAAGGTCCCTTTCTTGGGGCCTAAAGATTTTGGGGCTAAGAATTAGGTCCCATTCGCCAATGAAGGGCTGTAAGTGCATTTCAGGAGCAAGAAAGGGGCAAAACAGGTCCCGGCATACTGAGCCCTTTCTTGGTAGGATCTATTCCCAAAAGGTGACTACAGCCGCTTCCTGGACTAAAAGAAATACGGTTAGGAACCCACAAACTCGGGCACAGACTCAGCCCAATGGAAGGCAGGCTCGTCCTGCAAATCTAAGACCCCAGGGATCCCGCTGAATGGTGAAAGAAACTTTGGGCAGATGGGAAAGCAAATCCGCCCGGGGCCAACAAGGCTGCGGCAGAACCTAGCGGGCGCGCAGGCAGATTTATAAAATTACCTCATAATGACCCTCTTCCCTTTAACGTCCAGCTTGTCCAGAGTCAGCTTGTTAGACAGCGACATTTTGGCAATAAGGCGAGGGCGAGAGGTCGGAGACTGAGAGAAGGATAAGGCGACCGACGTGCTGTCCAGACGCGTGCAGAATGCTGAGCACCTCGCCCACCGGGAGCGCGCCCGCACCGCCCCCCGACGCCCCGCCTCCCGCACCGCCCCTTCCCGGCCGCGGCTCAGGGCGCGCCAAGCAGAGCGGCTGCTATTGGCCGCGGCCCAAAGGGGCCGGCTCGCTGCCATTGCTCCGAGGCGCTGTCCGTCTGCGAGGGTACTGGTGGGACGTGAGGCTTCCATTTGTCACGTCCGGCACGCTGCGAGCTGCGGGGAACCTTCCTGACTAGGGGCGGAGCGAGAGGCGGCATCTAGCGACCTGCAGGTAGGGCGGAAGGGAACTGTGTCGTGCTACGACTTGGACGTGGAAAATTTGAGAGGCCGGTAGCTTCTGCAGCCGCGGTTCAGGAGCCACACCCAAAGTATCTGTGGCGCTGCTTTAGTCCTAAGCTGCCTTAGGAAAAGCGCTCACCCCCACCCGTGGAATTCTCAGCAGAATGCCACCTCCTTTTGAAAACATGGTGTCCAGGCTTCCCAAAATGGATTTCTGCTACGTAAGGCCTTACTTAATCCCGAGACCTTTCGGAAGTCAAAAGAGACCCAGATCCTCCCAGCCCACCCCACCGTTTTTTAAGAATTAAAAAAAATACAATGTAATTATTCTGTGTGTTACATTTTTAATGCTAATGGCAAGCACACACACATTGCATTTTTCATGAATTAACTAATTTAATGCTCCCAAACTCAGAAGTAGATACTGTCATCATCATTTTACAGATGAAGTAATTGATACAAAAAGAAGTTTATTGACTTGCTTAGGATTTCAGAGCTTAGTAGATTCAAGCCTAGGCAATCTGGATCTAGAATCCGTACACTTAACATTATATAGGCTCTTGCTAGGGACTATGTATTCAATGTTGAGCATGTTTACAGAGTTAGTACGAATGAAATAACTTGAATATGACACAAATTTGTTTCTATATGTGGTGCTCGATGTCCATATAAAATATAGGAGCATAAACTGGGAATAATGCCATATACCATAATTTCTGCAACTCAGGAGACTGAGGTAGAAGGATTACAAGTTTGAGGCCAGTCTGATAAACTTACCAAGACCCTATCTTAAATTTTAAAAAATAAAAATAAAAGAGCTAAGGATATAACTCAGTGGTAGAGTGCCCCTGGGTTCGATCCCCAGTACTATACGAAAATGTAGGAACATAGTAATTCGCAGTGCACTGATATTAATACACAATTATGTCTGATAATAACACATAAATTTAAAGTTATAAGATAAACATCAATTTCTTTGAATCCTGTCACTGTGTATTATAAGAAACTTCCTTGGGAAATGACTGCTTGAAGTTACTTCCAAATAAGTCTACATTTGAGGTTTGATTGGGCCTCCTGGCCATCCTGTGGTCTGTTGTGAATACATTGAGCACTTATTTCATTCCACCTGGGTTAGTATTGTAATGGAATGAATTGTTTTTGGATAAGGTAGAATTGAAAAGGACAATTCAGCAAGGAAACAGAACAAGGATACGATCTGACAGCCTGGAATTAACAATTCTTCTTAATTATGGAACACTTGCTATTTGCTGAGAGCTGAACATACATGACTTACTCCTCACAATAGCTTTATGAAGTAGGCACTATTATATCCCCATTTTATGGATAATTATATTGACGCTCATAAAGATCAGGATGCTTCATCCACTACTGATCTGAAGCAGCAGCAGAGATGCAAAGATCCTAAGATAGAAAAGAGCCTGGGACAATACAGAAATTCCAGTGTTGCTAGAAAATAATGGAGGAGAAAAGATGTCTAAAATTGTGTGAGTGAGGCAACTGCCAAAAGGGACCAAATCATACATACATGATGAAATATTAATCAGCTATAGAGAAGAATAAAATGATGGCATTTGTGGGTTAATGGATGGCACTGGAGAATATCATGCTAAGTGAAATAAGCAATCCTAAAAAAACACAGCTGAATGTTCTCTCTGATTTGTGGATGCTAACTCAAAACAAGGGAGGTTAGGGAGGGAAATAATAAAAATCCATTGGATTAGACAAAGGGAAATGAAGGAAAGCGGGGGAATAGGAAAGAGTAGAATTAATTGGACATAATTTTCCTAGACTTGTATATACAATCAGGGTAACTCCACATCATGTATGACCACAAGTGTGGGAACCTAAGTGGAATAAGTTATACTCTATGTATGTAAATTCTGTCAAAATATGTTCTACTGTCATGTATAACTAATTTTTTAAATGAAGAAAAAAAGACAAAACAATAGTCACCTAAGGAGAACGAAAAAGAAACAAGAAAAGAAAAAGGGGGGGGCAGATCCCTTGGAATTTATAATCATGTTAAAGATATGACTTTTTAAAGCTATAATTTCTCCCCTAAGAGAAATGGGAAACCATGTGTTGCAGTCACTATTGCCTACCCAATAGCCATTTCCCACCCATTTGCTACCTTTCTTGCTAGCAGAAATCTGACTTGAGTATTGGGGTAATGCATATGCTCAAGGAAGATAGACTTATCTGTCAGCCCCAAGGGGTGAATCTCAATTGATTTCAACTAAGCATGGTACTCCTATCTCCCTTTGTCACAGATTGGTCTGAGAATGGGCATTGATCCAATTTGGGTCAATAAGATAAAGGGAAGTCTACTGACACATCTGGAAAAAAAACTTTATTCTCTGATAAAAGAAAAAATATAGAAGAGCAAACTTTTATATTCTTTTGCCCTTGGCCACTGCTTTTTGCTTGAGATACTATTCTATGTGAAAATTATATTTAGAGTTTTTGATGGCTTTAATGTCCAGCCAGGCATGGTGGCACACACACCCTGCGTTCCAAGCTACTGGGAAGGCTAAGGCAAGAAGAAGATCCCAAGTTCAAGGTGAGTCTGGGCAACTTAGCGAAATCCTGTCTCAAACAAATAAATTAATGAAATAAAAATATGTTATATTTGATACCTCTCTTTTGTTTTTTCAGTATTAGGGATCAAACCCAGGGTCTCACCCATGCTAGGCAAGAGATCTAACACTGAACTATATCTCTAGCCCTTTTAAAAAAAAAATTTTTGAGACTAGATCTCAGTAAGTTGCTCAGGCTGTCCTCAAACTTTCAATTATCCTATATTAGCCTCCCCTGTACCTGGGATTACAAACATACATCATAGCTGCCCAGTTTGATACCCATACCCCTTTCAAAAGGTGGACCTTAGTTCTATTCCCCTTTAGTGTGGGCTATACATAGTTGGCTCTCTTATGCTTAGTTAAATATGGTAGAAGTAACTATGGATGACTTCCAAGAGTAGGCCATAAAAGTCATTGTGGATTCCCCCTTGCTTTCTGTATCTTTTACTCTGGGGAAGGCCAGCTGCCATATCATGGGGACACTCTAACAGCTTTATAGAGAAGCCTACATGGTAAGGAGGTAAGCCTCCTGCAAGTAGCTATTTAAATGATCCATCATGAAAATGGATCCTCCAGTCCCAGTCAGGCTTCCAGATGTCTGCAACCCTGGCCAACATGTCAACCACAGTCTCATGAGCTACCATGAGCCAGAACCATGGAGCTTAGCTATTCCCAAATTTCTGACCCACATAAAGTATAAAATAATAAAGGTTTGTTGTTTTGAGGTATTTTTGTTACTCAGCAATAGATAATTAATATGAAGTTCCAACAATGATTTTGACACTTTAAGGGTAAATAATCACTCAAACATCGAGAATTGAAGAGTGGACCTATAGAACAAAACTGAGCCCCTGATGACATCAGTGACCAACTTTCCGTTTGTAGCTGAAAGCATCTTGTTACCCTGTTGAAGTGATTTAAGTGAGAGATGTTTACATTTTAAAAATAAATTCTCAGGGGAGTTTAACTTCTGGTAACCTTGGATTATCTAGTCCAATTAGGACTAATCCTCCTACTGAGAAAGAATAGAAAAACTGGATACAAAGCATTTGTTTGAGGTACTGGATAACTACCAAGGACAGTGAAGCATAAAAGATTGAGGAAGAAAAGAAGTCTGTATTTGAGGTTGTTTATCCCACAAGGGCATCTGCCAATTCCAGAAGAAGTAACTGAGAGGCTGAAAAGATGAGGATGGCTTTGGTGAGATTCATAGGACTTTAGAGACCACCAAGGAGAAGGGGATCTGACAAACCCCAGAAGTTACTCTGAAGGGCAACACCTTCTGAATAAAGATAAATAGGAAATAGAGAAGCCCTCATGAGAAATAAAGCACAGATTCTTCTCATCCAAATCCATGATCAAATAAAATTATTTTAATTTTAATAAAATTAAAATTAAAAATTTTAATACCCCTCACATAGTAGTGAGGGTGGTTAGACGACAATTGTGGAGTATTTTCCTTAAACTAACTTAGCATGATTTTTCTTTGAAGTAGGTCCTTCTATGACAAGGATGGAAGCTTAGTCTAGTACAGAATTAAAAATTTGACCAAAGGAAAGAGTCTTTGTCAAGTTACAGTTATCTGAAGACTTGACAGAGACTAGAGGATCTACTTCTAAGATAGTACCCACATAGCTGTTGACAAGAGATGTCATTTGTTTTTTTTTGTTGTTTTGTTTTGTTTTGGTACTGGGGAATTGAGCTCAGGGGCATTCAACCACTGAGCCACATCCCCAGCCTTATTTTGCATTTTATTTAGAGACAGGGTCTCACTGAGTTGATTACGGCCTCACTTTTGCTGAGGTTGGCTTTGAAGTAGCGATCCTCCTGTCTCAGCCTCCTGAGCTGCTGGGATTACAGGCATGTGCCACCACACCTGGCTAAGAGATGTCAATTTCTTACCATGTGTTCATCTCCATGAGACTTAGTATTATCATGATATGACAGCTGGCTTTCCATTCATTTCCAGAATGAATGATCCAAGACATAGAACAAGAAAGAAGCTACAAGCCACAAGCCGGATGCAATGACACACACATCTGTAATCCTAGCAGCTCAGGAGGCTGAGGCAGGAGGATCGCGAGTTCAAAGCCAACAGCAGCAAAAGCAAGGTGCTAAGCAACTCATTGAGATTCTGTCTCTAAATAAAATACAAAATAGGCTCAGTGGTCAAGTGCCTCTGAGTTCAATCCCTGGGGGGGAAAAGGGGGGAAAAAAGCTACAATATCTTTTATGACCTATTTTAAGATGTCACACAAAATCATTTCAGTCATATTTTATTCATCAGATATACTTATCCTTAAGTCTAGTCCACACTTGGGAGGGGTATGTGGTTTCACCTCTTGAAGGAAAATGTATGAAAAATTTTGTGGACTTTTTAAAAGTTTTTAATTTTTTCTTATGTAAAACCACATACACTTTTCCTGGCTCTTCTTTTGCTGAAGACTAGGCCAGATGGTGTCTGACATCACATATTCCTTATCATGAAGAGATGCATGTAACTGAGGAATAATGAAAAGAGTAGATTTCTTCCACTCTGAAGATTGCCTATACTTCTACCCATGTCTTGTCTATGCTAATATTTTTATGGAATTATAAAAATTTGCAATAAGTAGAAATCCTGAAAGTCTCACATACAAACAACTACCTTCTATACTATAAAAATGCCTTTGAAGGCTTCTAGCTTCTATTTCAGTGTTCAATGATGAATGGCTACATTAAAGGGAACTTAGTTACATTGTTAGATAAATATAATTATTAGGAAATCTTTATATTAAAGAGTTGTAATTAGCAAAATCCCAGATGTTGGAAACTCTGTAGAATGAGCTAGTTCTTTCAATAAATGCCAAGAAAAGGAAGAGATGGGTGAACCTATAGATTTAAAGAAACAAGAGACATTTCAAACAAGTACAATGAGTGGTCCTTGTTAGAATTCATACAAACCAACTGTAAACACATATGTACATATGCATACACATTTATGGAACAACCTGAAAATTTTGAACAAGAACTTACTAGATATTTGTTGGTCATATGGTATTTGATAAAAATTTCTAGATATGATAAAAGATCTTTTGAAGAGGTCTTACCCTATCTACTAAAATGATTTTTTGATTTGTTTGTCTTTGGTGCCAGGGTTTGAACTTGGGGTCTTGTACATGCTCACATTTACTTTAGTACTATACTGAAATGTTTTTAACTTTCTTTTGAAAATGTTTTCAAATTTACAGAAAAAATTGAAAAATAATACAAAGAACTCCCATATATCTTTGGTTCAAATGTATTAGTTGTTAATATTTTGATGCATTTATTTTATTATATATCCTGACACTAGATAGATAGATAAAGCTGGGAATATGGCTCAGCCATTAAGTGCCTGCCTAGTGTACATGATGCCCTGAGTTCATTCTCTAGTACTGCCAAAAAAAAAAAGCCATTCTAAGTAGATGATTGATAGATAGATATTCCAATGCCATTACTCCTTTACCTATGATACATCTGTGACTATTTCTCAAAATCCAAGTTATTCACTTACATAACTATAATACAATTATAAAAATCACGAATTTAATCTCAATATAATACTATTATCTAATAGCATTCAAATTTATTGATTGTCTTAATCATATTCTTTATAGCAAATATTTTACTCCTTGATTGAATCCATGATCATATATTGATTTTGATTCTTGAATCTTTTTTAACCTGGAACAGTCTCTCAATCTTTATCTTTCTTGTCATTGACATTTTAATAATACAAGTCATTTATTTTGTAGAAATAAACTCCTTTTTATTTTATTTTTTATTTTGTAGAAATAAACTCCTTCAACTGAGTTTGTCTGATGTTTCCTTATGATTCTATTCTGGCTATGTATTTTTTTAAAAATCTTTATTTTGTTTATTTATTTTTATATGGTGCTGAGGATTGAACCCAGTGCCTCACATGTGTGAGGTTAGTGCTCTTCCACTGAGCCCCAGCCCCAGCCCCAGACCCTGGCTATGTATTTTTGGTTGGAATACTTTGTGATGTTGCATCTTCCTCAGTTCAATTATATTAGGAAATACATGATATTGGTTGATATAATTATTGGCAATGATAATTTTGATCATTTGGTTAAGGCAGTGTCTGACAAATTTCACTACTATAAAGTTACTCTTTTTTCCTTACTGTAATCAGTAAGTAATTTGTGTGAAGATATTGTGAATCTATGTAAATACCCTGTCCCTCACTAGTTTCTGTATCCTGGTGGTGGTAGGAGTTGTATGAATCCATATATGTGTTAAAACTCATAAAATTGGGCAGGGACTTAGCTCAGTTGGTAGAATGTTTGCCTTGCATGCACAAGGCCCTGGGTTCAAACCTCAGCACCACACAGACACACACACACACACACATACACACACACACACAAAAAAATAAATAACTCATAAAACTGTCCACCAACTAAATTAGTATGGGGAAAATGGCTCTACAGGCTAGTATTGCATGACTCATAACATGTCTGCCAGCTGGGATTCAGCCCATGGGCCATGAGGTTATAACCTCTGCTCTTTAGTTCATAGCACCCATATTAAAATACAGTGTCTTAAAATAATCTGTGGTGTTAGAAGTCAGTATAGTGGTTTCCTTTAAGAAGGAAGGGTGAGTATTCACTAATAAACCATATGAGGACTTCTAGGATGCTGGTAATTTCATATTCCTTAATCTGGGTTTTCTAGAATAATCAACAGATTGATTTGCCCAGGACCAGGATATAAGATTTTCAGTGCTAAAACCAGAATGTTCCTGGGGAAAAACTGAAGTAGTTGGTCAGTCACCCTGACAGTTACATGGGTATGTTCATTTTGTGAAAATTTATTGAGCTGTATATTTATGACTCATGCACTTTTCTGTGTTCATATAAAATACTGTCTTAAACTGGCACAGATGAGGTCTGGTTAGCACAGAGTACAGTAGAACTATTATTTGCAATAACTTAGACTTCTGTTAACTAGGCTTAAGGTTGCATTATCATTTTCCTCAGCCTTATCATCGTGCTAATCTTGTGGTAAATGAAGCCTCTCAGATATTTTTCACATGAACCACTATTTAAACATGGCTCCTCTTTCCTTAATTTATACAAATAATTTAGAAATTATTAGAAATTCCTTCATTTCTAATCGTACAGAGAGGACCTTAGACTTTTTCCCTGTTAAAGTTCATCCTGCTTCTCCTATTATATTTTACTGGAATGTATCCTTGTCTTTAAGGGATTTATTATCTTAGCCTGGACTTCCCATGATTTTTTGCATACTAATGAAAAGCTTGAAAGAGCTATTATCTACCAGACTATACCCTTCAGCTTCTGCAACATTATGGTTCAATACCACCATTATTTATTCCAAGTAATCTTCCCTAGTTTGGACCTTAAGTGTCCCCCAAAGGTCCATGCCACAGTCTATGGCACTATTGAGATGTGATGGAACCTTTAAGAGGTGGGGCCTAGTAGGAGGATTTCAGGTCATTGGAAGCATGCCCTTGATATTGGGGATAGTGAGACCCTAGCCCCTTCCTCTTTGTTTTTTTTTTCATTTCCAGTCATAAGGTGAGTATGCTCCCACTGTGATGTATTACCACAGGTCCAAAGCAGTCATTAACTGAAACATCTGAAACTGTGAGCAAAAACCAAACTTGCCTTTTTGTACATTGATTTACCTGAATTTTTTGTTACAGTAATGGTAAAGTAACTAACACATAGCCCCACACATTGACCCACTGTCCAAACAATCCTGAACTTAGAATTCTTTTATTATTTTAAATTCAACTGACTTAAAAAGTAAAATAAATAAATTCAACAGACTTTATTCACAGTGGTGGGAAAATATATGTACTAATTAAGGATATATTCTAGTTTAATAACTATTATGATTATATAAAACATGTCACCAAATTACCCCCTTCAGAAATAAGGCACTTATTCTTTGGTTGCTGACAGCTTACAGCTGAGTCCCTTTACATAAATTGTCCTGTGTTGAAAGAAGCTCCCTATCTCAGGTTATGTTCCCAATCCCAAGGAGATTCATCAAACAATGATTGATTAATCTGGTTAGAAATCCCTGGTTTCAGTGACATTTCTAAAGGATCACCTTTGGTCCAGAACTTTCTGTGAGATTTGCTGAAATCTCTATTGCAACTTCTCCCTCTCTATCTAATCCTGATTTCCTCTCTCCGGGGTGAAAATGGTGTTGTTCCCAGAATCAATCCTCATACAAATCTCAATCTCAGAACCTGCCTCTAGGGATCCTGGAAAGACTATCCAGATGGCTCCCATGATCTCTGCCCTCTAGTATTCACATCTTTGCATAATTCCTTTCTCTTCAATGTGAGTTGAGCCTGTTACTTGTTTTTTGTTTGTTTGTTTGTATGTTTGTTTGTTTTGGACAGTACTGGTGATTGAACACAGGGTACTCTACCACCAAGCTATATACTCATTCCCAGACCTTTATTATTTTTATTTTTTGAGATAAGGTCTCATTAAGTTTCCCAGGCTGGCCTTGAATTTTCAATTCTCCTCCCTCAGCCTTCCGAGTTGCTGGAATTAAAAGTGCACACCAACACACCTGGCCTGAAACTTGCTTTTAAATCATGGTATGACAAAGTAATGTAATATCATTCACATGATTAAATTAAGATGTGAACATAAGATTCTGTCTTGTTAGTATGCACTACAGACTCTTTCTCTGGCTTTGAAGTAAATTACCATGTTGTGAAAGGGTCTATAAAGAGATCCATGTGGCAAGGAACTCTGGCAGGACTTTTGGATGAGAAAGCAGCCTCTGGTGAATAGCCAGCAAGAAAACATAGACCTCAGGCTGGGGATGTAGATCAGTGGGAGAACAATTGCCTGCCATACACAGGCCCTAGGTTCAATTCCTAGCACTGCCAAAAAGGAAGAAAGGAAGGAAATGTGAACCTTGCCAGGCAGGGTGGTACATGCCTATAATCTCAGTGACTCTGAGTTGAGGCAGGAGGATCACAAGTTTGAGCCAGCCTCAGTAACTTAGTAAGACTTTGTATCAAAATAAAAACTTAACAGACTGGGGATGTAGCTCAGTAGTAGAGGGCCTCTAGATTCAGTCCCAGTACCCCCCCACACACATGCAGAAAAAAATGTCCAAGAAATATACTCCAAATGGAAGCAAAAATGTACAACCTATGAAAATAGTTGATCTGAATTATTTACCCAGTTCTAATAAATATTAGTGTTGAGACTATCCTCCACTTAACAGATTTATTTTCTATTCCTATAGAGAGTATTTTCTCAATTAAAACAATATGACATATAGAGAAGAGTCAATTGAAGAAGTCTATAATTTCAAATTTATTAACCATAAATTGTAAACAAATTGCAGACAATTTTATGTAAAAAATTAAAAATAGAAAGATCATATTGAAAAAACACTTTTTTCAAAAAATACCCGTAACATGTATTTAAGACAAATAGAGCTAAGAAAGTGATCAAAGTATGTGAATATGTACCAAGAAATTATTCTATTTATGTTCTTTTTTAAATATTTATTTTTTACTTGTAGTTGAACACAATACCTTTATTTTATTTATTTATTTTTATGTGGTGCTGAGGATCAAACCCAGGGCCTCCCACATAAGAGGCGAGCTATCTACTGCTGAGCCACAATCCCAGCCCCTCTGTTTATGTTATTTTTAATGTTCATGGAATCAATTATAAATAAGAGGTTTTGTTCTATCTCTATGAGATATTTTTAGTTTTATTTTTAGAAATATTTTTATTTTTGAAGTTGGTGTCTTATAGAATTATTTTGAATTCCATGAATATGAAAAACCAATTTGTCAATCAGCAGAAAAATACTTCAAATATATTGAATTACTTTAATTTCTTAAACTCTCTGAAGTTTCCCAGTTTAGATGATAAATTATATGGTTTCCCTAAGGCTATAGGATCTTTCTTTGGTGGCTTTATCCCTATCCTTTAGTTTAGCAATGTCTACAATCCAGATCCCCTTAATATGCAACTTAGCTTTCTGTAAATGTGAAAAGGTCACTTCTCACTGTTCATACATTTTTTTTTGCAAGTGTCCATTCTTTATCTCATTCAAGTGAGGTATCAAGGGAAGGGAGATAGGAAGTTCAGAGGTATGATCAGGTTCTGACTTTTGTTCCTTGGGAAGCCATTTTTTGCCAATTAATTCATTAACAAGCCCCAAGAGTTTTCTCATAAATAGATTGATATCTCTAAGGACATGTGAGTAAAGCAATGAGAGAAGAACAAACAAAAATACACACATATGGAAACACATATAGGCAGAAGGAGGAAAAAAGAGCAAGAACTTTAACAAATAGTAAATATAACTCTGAGCGAAAAGAATATAGGCTTTCCCTTATTGTGAGAGCAATAAGGGAAAGCCTATATAAACCCTGCACTCCTCTGCACCAGTCACCCACTGCTGATTCCCAAAGAGAAGGGTGTATATCATTA